AGTATGTACCGGGCGGTATCATTCGGTATTGCCTACCTTGGTCATTACTGCAGCACACTAATTCCTTAAACTCATCACGAGGTACTTGTTTAGCAAACACCTGAAATATTTGGGAGAAAACAGGTTGAGCTTAAGAGAGCAAGCCTTTTGTGGGAAAGTAACAAAATTATTTGAAGGATGGTTCCTAATCTATGAAATTTAACTGCTCTCGTGAATGCTTCTTTGCAGGCTATTTAGGCCAGAAACTCCTGTTTAAAAATGACTGTAAAATTGGACTTCAGAAAGGCAAAATCTCATCTTGTTATCACCTGTCGTCTAATCATTTTCCTTGTCTATCTGTATTTCTTGTCTTATTCAATATGTAGTCAACTGTTGAAAGAGAACCTCTTTTTCTGTTGTCCTTTCTTTTATGAAAATCCACATGATCAAATAATTAAATTCTCTTCTCATTCCCGTGTTTCTTTTATCTTATTGATTAAACTTGATTGATCTTTTTATGGGAAAAAAGACAAAAGCGTTGCTTTTGTGTGAAAAGTCACCTGTTATGTCTCAGTATCGTGTAACGTCTAGTTATTACTCTCTTATGTATTTAATTTTCATTTCTTTAAGCTTTAGTTACAAGGGTGATATATTGAGCTATTAGCAAAGGGCCAAGGGTGATATATAGAGCTTATACAAAAAAATGATCTTGATCTCTCTCCCTATGGAGTTTGCATGTGAAAGCACAACAGGGAAGATAATTTGCACCTTTTTCGGTTACTTATTTGGTTGGGCCTATAGAAATCAAGTTGCTTTCCTTTTTCTTGTCATCTGCTGTGGCTTCATTTATATTTTTCACATTCTTCTGCTTTTTTTTCCCTTGATTGTAGCATAGTCTTTACTGAGTAGTTCTTATAGCTCAAGTCTCTTGTTGACACAAATTCTATCTTCGTTCTTGATTTTATTCATATATTTTGCCTTGAATCCTGAGAATTTTATCCCTATATCCAGGTCAAACCTTTCCTACTTCAATCCCTAAACCATTCTCACCTCTTCCCACCTTGCAAACTTTTCCTGAGGCATAAAGGCCCTAAAATGCTACTTAATAGGACTGCCAGGATTAGAGCACTGCAAACTGCAGTACTTCTTTGTTCTTTCACTTTGTGACTGAACCTCAAATCTAAAATAAACATTCAATGATATCTGTAGCTGTTGCATCTGAATACACCACTTTCTCACTCTTATTTCCTTTTCAAACATTACTGTAACCAGTCCTCTACGTTCCTGCTAAATCCCTTGCCTATCTTGAACTTAAATCTACTTGTTTTGCCTAAAAGTTGAAGACATCATTGCTAGCATCAGTCGGCAAAGTTGAAAAAGAAAATTGTGTTGATTTCTAGACTGTCTTTGTAATTTGTGTAAATTAATTCATGTGTTTCTCACTCCTCTCGGTTGCCATTGTAAAGTGCAATAACTTGGAGTTTAAATCTTAATAAGCTAATGTCAACGTTACAATTTTATATATTATGGCTTTGGTTACTCAATATATTCCGATACACTAATTTATTTGTGTACCAGGGGATCTTACCTATCACGAGTTTTGTAGGGCATAGCTTTGTTAGTATTCCTCGGTGAATCTTGTAGGTTTTCCTATGTTATGTATGATATAATTTCTCTGTCAATTAGAGATTCTTTTGGAGATATTCTTTCTAGGTTTTCTAAAAGGTGCCCAGCTGCACATGATTTCATTTTCCTTGAACTTTTCAGATTTAATCATAGATCAAAGAAAGCACTATATATATAATGCTAAACCAAATCTACACTTTTCTTTTTTTAGTTAAAAGTAAAAAATGCCAGCTCACTGTCCTAATTTCACAAACACACTGAATAATTGAAAATCTCTTGGATATTCATCGCAAATTCAGAAAACCCTATGTGCCAAATGCTTTTTAATGTTCATACATTAAGTGTGGAGAAAATTAAATGTTGATTTTGATAATCGAGTTCATTGGTATAAAATGGTCCTAAAGGCTAGACTCTACAGTAGTTTTACGAAGTATTCAACTACAATTAGTTGGTTCCTTCCTTATTTTCATCATGCTTTCTATTTTGTTCTCATTTTTCCTAAATAGAGGACAATTCTTCATGGAAAGTGACTTCTAAACATGTAATTGTTGGAGCAGTAAACATTAGTGAAAGAGACACTGCATGGATACAAGAGGGACTGACACATGCAGTCTCCAGAGTAGGTTTCCAAACTAGCATATTTCTCCTAGCTTTTTTGAATGTATTGCTGCAACGATCATATTAATATATTTGCTTCCTTTTCCATCAAATAACTTGTATTTTGTTTGTGCTATCTTATTTGAAATCGATAATTGCTAACCTACTGCTGTAATAGTCATATTCATGATCCCTTTACTTTCTTGTCCATCTTATATGTTACATCTAAGAATTCCAGTATTTTGTTTCTGATGAAAATTTTCTCATGATACAGATTATAAATGTCTACAATCAAGAATATGAAAGTGGGGCAGCATTTTGGCCCGATGTTCATCGCCGCATTATTACTGCTCTAATTATTTCCCAGCTGCTTCTACTTGGTCTTTTAAGTACAAAGCATGCTGTAAATTCAACACCTTTGCTACTAGTTCTTCCTGTGTTGACTATATGGTTTCATAGGTTCTGCAAGAATCGATATGAACCTGCATTTGTTAAATTTCCACTCCAGGTAATCCTTTATTCATTTTTTTGTAAATTATGTGGATCTTGTTCCATATCTCGTTTCCGCAGCTTATTTTGAGTTGAAAACACATGGCACAATTTAAGATTATCAAATTGTGTAGAATCTTAGTATAGGTGGTAAAATTGTAGTGCTAATTAGAAACTACGAGATTGAAGTTTCTTTAAGCAGAACTTGCTCTAACCATTACACATCATCTCCATTTACAGTGTAATCTCACATGGCTTTTGAAGTCATGGGAAAAATGTTATCCATGTAATGTTGAGCCTTGAGAATGACATAAATTTTGGTATTCGTGCATAAAATAATTGAGACTAATCCAAAAATAATATCTATATATACATTCTTGATGCCAATTGAAAAACTAATGTTTGAAATGTTGCCGATGTGAAACCCAATATGTTGTGGCACTTGCTATTTCTATGGTGCAATATGGATCCATGCAGACACAAGTAAGATGCATGATAAAGGAAAAGGAAAAATGAAAACAAAAAGAAAAAGAAGATGAAAGTTAAGTAAACGAATGAAAATGTACTAACCTGTTCTTAGCCTTCTTTGACATAATCTCTAATGACGAATCACTCCCTAGGTGAATCTTACTGTAGATAGGGTTGATTACCCCCTTCTCGTGAAATAATTGATACATTGAGCTTGTTGTTTCTTTAACTAGTTTATAAAAAAAATGTCACCCTCTCTAATATTTTCAGTGGACTACATTCCCTAAATGATCCTTGGAAAACCAAAAAAAAGGAAAAAGAAAGGCATATGGTTACTCTCAAAAAAGGGTGGTTACGTGCCATCCGGTATGGGTGGCTCATGCAAAATTACAAAACTTGATCCAAGGAATTTAAATTCAGTTACTCTGTCTCTGTCCATAGCCATATCAGTATTGGTCTGTTCGGTTCCAACACACTATGTCTGAACATACCATGATAATGTTATGGGAGCAATAGGAGGGGAGGAAGCAGCGATTTTAAAAGGCGCTCGGGCGCTCGTCTAGGCGCTCGGGCGAGGCAAGGCGAGGCCCGAGCGCCTCGCTAATCTCCCAAGCAGCGCGCTTCAAACAAGCGCCGCCTAGGCGCTTCGGGCGAGCGTCCGGGTTAACCAAGGTGACCGAACCAGGATTTTAGGTCTGGTTCGGTCCTGGTTCGGTCTATGATGGTTAGTTGGTTCAATCAAACCAACTAAAACTGATATAAGTGACAACCGAACCCTAACCCTCGTCGCTGCCGATCCCGTTGCTCGCAAACGCTGTCGCTGCTCGCAAATGCTGCCGCTCGCGCCTCCCGCTGCTCGCCACTCCTGCTCCCGCTGCCGCTGCTCGCAAACATTACCGTTGTCGCCGCTCGCGCCTCCCGCTGCTCGCTGCTGCCGCCGCTCGCCGCTACCGCTTCCTCTTTTCTCAGTCAGCAGGCTCAGCACCCCTTTACACTTCCTTTTAACAGTATACGTATACTATATACTGTTAATATTATTAAGTTTATTTGAAATAATTAATTTTCAATACTATTAATAGATTAATAATATATTATTTTGATTTTAATACTGTTAATTTTTATTTATTTGAAACTTTTTGTTAATGTGACATTGTGATTTTGTATCTTAGATTTTCTTAATTTAATAGTATATTTTTATTTAAAATTTTAAATAATTATATTTATTAATTATATTATATATTTTTATATTTTAGCGTCTCGCTTCGCTCGAGCGAGCGCCTAGCACCTCGGGCGTTTTTGAACCTTGACGCCTTTTGGCGCCTAGCGCTTTTTAAATCATTGGGAGAAATTTAAAGAAGAAGAAAAAGAAAGGAAGAAGAGGAGGTCTATTGGAGTGGACGGTGGGAGTGCTTGCAGCAACAGGCAACTGACAACAGGTGTGCGAGTGGTGATGGGCGGAGAGCAGACTCGAGACTCTTTGCAAGAAGTTGCATTGCAGCCCTACATCACGAACTAGACTGGACCACTGTGAACTGGTTATAGTTATATAAAGTATAAAGGAATGAAATTATTATTATTTTACCTATCATGTGAAGCTTCATGTACATTTGAGTATCATATATCCAATCAATGATATTGGGGAAGACCTTAGATCTAGGTGTCCCGCCCTAATTTGCTTGGAGTTAATATAAAGGGGTAAGTGTAGCCATTTATGGCACCTATTCCATGTGCTTAATGATAATGATTTCAACTATTACATCCTAGAAATACGGAGGATAAAGTATGATTCCGATGATACTTCTTTTATATAAGCCCTTAAAGTGAGAGCTAGACCAATTACTTAATGTAAACATATTATTGATTCTATTTTTCTTGGCTAAATGGAATATAAGGAGATTAAGTAGTAAATTGAGTGGTATCAAGCCACAAAATTTTCCCTTCCGTGAATCTTTGAACAAGTATGCATCTAGTTATCATTATAGGTGAAATGAGTGACATGTTGTGTCCAAATCAGGGTTTTGAATAAGGTATGCAATACCGTACCGTACCGGTGTTTCGAGGTTGGCTCGGTATGGTATGGTATCGATGTATTGAGCGGTACACTAGGGTGTATCGAGCGGTACACCCTAGTGTACCGAACAATTTTATATATTTTCTTCATTACTGTAGTACTGCTACAGTATAGCATTGTAGCACTGTAGCGGTATCGGGCGGTCCGTGTACCGGTATGTCATCGGACCGGTACGTACCGCCCGTACCGGGCAGTACCATTCGGTACTGCATACCATGGTTTTGAATACCGGTTCGTACCGATGTACCGAGCAAAGCTCGGTACCATACATATTGATATGTATCGTCAATACGCCAGGGTGTACCGACGATGGTATATCCAAAAACCTTAAAAATATCTTTATCTATCACGCTAGGGCATACCGATCGGTATGCCTTGGTAATAGTCGAAATCCGAGACGGTACCTGTTGGTACACCTTGGTGCCGCCCGATGGAGGGCAGTCCGCATATCAATATCCTCTCGATACATAGCGCCCGTACCGGACGGTACACATCGAAATTAAGAATCCTAGTCCAAATTGCTATCCTCTTCAAGGTAGGATATTGCCAGTGTCTTTGTCTAGAAAAGATACAAATGTTCACCAACTATTTATTGGCCTTCTTGAAATTAGTGTTATTTTTAGACATCACTTATATAATATTAGTTCTCTCCAATATCATCAATTACAGTGTCCATCAGATCCTATATGTATCCTTGGATGTTAAATTTGATTATGATGCATCAATGAACCTGCTGTTGCATGTGTAGGTATTGTTAAGGGCCCACTACTTGAAGATTTTGATCCTTCTGTGAATTTACTCGACCTCATCATCAAGATACACCTTAGTGATCTCATATGAAGGAAGAGGTTGTATCTTGGGTTCATGTTTCTAAGTGGTTTACATGATGAATCTGTAATTCACATCCTGAGCTAGGATGGGTGATAGATGCAGTTGAAATTGTACAAGCAGTGGTTGCCTTACCTATATCCTCTTTTTCTTATAATAGTCATGGTCCATTTGCAATCTGAAAGGGGAATGCCATGGGATCAAGATCAAACATCAGACATCAATCTCTTATCGAAAAACTAAAGAAACACAAAAAAAAAACTAAAGAAACACTTGATGCCCCTTCTTCGGGTTGGGATGGTGCTCATCCTAGCACTTGTGCCATAATAGAAATGCATCATGGTCCATTCCCAATCTAAAAGGGGAATGCCATGGGATCAAGATCAAATATCAGCCGTCAATCTCTTATCGAAAAACTGTAGAAACTCTTGATGCCTCCTTCTTGGGGTTGGGATGGTGCTAGTCACCTCATACTAGCACTTGTGCCTATCTCATGAGCATCGCATGCTAAATCATCACTAGCTTGTCTGATACTAAAAGACTTGTTGAACTAGGATGGACTAGCAACACTAGCATTGCCACCGCTATTTCCATGCTTGAATTGAGATGGATCGACCTAATGTTTGTATCTTATATTCTTGTGCATATGAGATTACTCCAAACATCGTAAATATTACTTGTGTACCTTTGGATTTTCCTAGCATCCAACTATGCCTTCAAAAGCTTGTTCAATTTTTAAAGGGCTCTTGTTTATATGGCAACACCAGGAATTCCACTAGTCAAATGTTATTGTAGCCTTATTCCTCTGCCATGACCAATATATTCGAAGTGTATGTATTGGCAATCATGGTGACACTTCAAGTGATGGCCACTCTAGCTTAATATATAGCTTTGATACTGTTATTTTCATACAAACATTAACAACTAATTCAGGTATAAAATTCCAAAAATGTACATTTTAGTGGAAATTCGATCTAGACTGACAGAAATGTAGATTAGATTATCATTTTTGGTTAATAGCATAGCCTGCATCCATACTTGGACGCTGAATTGATTCTATGGGATAACCATTCTACTTTATGTTGCTAGAGTAGATTTAAAATGAAAAATCAGGCATATGTTAGTATGATTGTCCTCTTACATCTTGTGCTCTTTCACTTGCAGGAAGCAATGATGAAAGATACATTAGAGCATGCCAGGGAACCTAACCTAGACTTGCGAGCATACCTCCTGAATACATATGTACACCCAGTATTTAAAGATGGTGAGGATGACGATAGCTTTTCGGATGATGGGGAACAAGAATGTGAGAATGTCTTAGTGCCCACGAAGCGCCAATCCCGGAAGAACACACCAGTTCCCAGTAAATATAATGGTTCATCTTCTCCTTCTCTTCCCGACATCGCCAAAGAAGAGCTATAATATATAATGGATATGCACTCCTAATTCCCCTGTACATTAGCATCACGAGGAGTGAATTGAAGGGGTGTGATATATTTGATCTCCTCAATTTGATATGCTGAAGATAGATCTAACTCAATGCACACTGTGGATTCAGCTACTCAGATCAGGATGGATATGGACACTTCACTCGTTCACAAAAGTTATGTTATCATGTGGTTAATCTTCACTTCAAACACAGCTTTACAAAGGTCTCCTGTTGTAATTGGCCCATTTGTTTCAGTAGCATGGCTTGCTTTCAACCAAGTCAAAGTCATCCGATTTATCTTTCTATCACAAACTCTAATACTATGTTGGATTTTTTTTCGATGAATACAGACTCGAACAAAATTGTGGACACTCGACTAGTATAATAAGATGATGGTTTCAAATCCTTAATTTCTGCTAATATATATAGTGTTGCCACATGTCCATATTAGTGGTAATTCTTCACTATAATTTGTTTTTTCTCTTTTGGGTGGTGTTAAGTTAGATTTAGGTTCTTCCACGTGGATGTTGATTTGGTTCGAATCTATGTACTCTTTTTGCATCTGAGTGAGATGGTGTTGGGTGAGGGAAAAGTTCAAAGTTAAGACTTAGCAAAACTGCATTGAGGACATACTTGACAAGGTTTATTCGATACTTAAGTTAATGTTTTATTCAGAGGATTTGATCATTATCAAATCTATATGGATTTAAGCGTCATGGAATAGTTCAGATGTCAAAGAATAGTTCAGATGTCAAAGAATATACCTGAGGGGTCTTTTTATTAGTACGGTATGAGAATGTTGTATTGGATGTCAAGATAAAATGTCAAAAATAATTATGCATTTTTTTCGATCATACGGGAAAAATCGATGGAATCAACTTTTCATTTATATGACATGGCTAATTCCGTAAGGTCGAGTTGTCTGTTCGATGAGGGGTGAGATATTGATGAGGTGTCGATCGAAATATTGATGAGGTGTCGATAACTATGTATGTGTCACAATCTATCTATATATTGAAGTTATTTTGTATTTGGGCTTCTTTTCAAAAGAAGTTATAGGTTTGCATTTTCTAAAATCAAATCAGTAAGTTCATCACCCTAACCATCCAAGTTTTTTAGCAATTAACAAAAAGAATAAGAACAGAATAATCTTTGCCATCATAATACAAAATAATTAGTTAATTTTTTTATAATCTAAGATTAATTATATATGATCGTCTGTAATTAGTTACTTTTAGTATCTCGATCTTTATATTTTTAAAAGTTAGTTCCAACAAAATCTCTCTTTATATTTTTAATTCTATAAAATTATATTTTTAATCGTATAGAGATCTCGATATTTTAATTTCATAAGTATAAAAATCTCAATATAATTTTTAAAAATATACGGATCAAAATATTAAAAATAAAAATAACTTAGTAATTAGTCGCTTCCCAATCAAAGACGGATGGAGAGAGAGAGAGAGAGCTATTTGTAGCAATGCTACACCAAATCCGAGGTTTGCTGGGTTGACCAAATCTGTGGCAGGAGTGGACGAAGAACATCCATACTCCATGTTTCCCTCGCATCCTTTCTGTCTGCCGCATTGGTCGAAGGTAAGAGTCGTGGCACATGAACGATCGATCGCCTTTGTCTTTTTATTTGCAGGTTTCCCTTCTTTCTTTCCCATCCTTCTCCTCTTCGCTACAATAATTCTCACCACCCGGTGGGAGCGAAAAGCAGAGGAAGGGATCGAAGGACAGCGCGGCAAAGACGGGGAGGTAATTAATTAGTAAGGGATGGATGATAGGACCGAATCTATTTGTTAGGTTTGCGTTCGTTGATTCATTCAGGTATAGATCTTGCAGCAACAGTGGAAGCCATGGGTGAAGATGATGAGAAGCAGTCAGAGAAGAGGTACATTTCCTCGGAGGAGCTCCGGTTGCACAACACGCCTTCGGACCTGTGGATCTCGATCCAAGGTAAGGTCTACGACGCTACCCACTGGGTGAAGGACCACCCGGGCGGCGAGCTCCCTCTGTTCAACCTCGCCGGTCAAGACGTCACCGATGCCTTCGTCGCTTACCACCCGGGCACCGCTTGGTCCCTCCTCGATCGCCTTCCCCTGGTCGGCTACCTCTCCGACTACCGAGTCTCCGACGTGTCCAAGGACTACCGACGCCTGATCACCGATATCTCCAAGAAGGGCCTCTTCGACAAGAAGGGTCACATAACCTTCATCGTCCTTTGCCATATGTGCCTCATGTTCGCCGCCGTCGTGTACGGCGTCGTCTGCTCTCCCAGCGTGTGGGTCCATCTCGGCTGCGCGGTCGTGCTGGGGTTCCTGTGGATGCAGTCGGGGTTCCTTGGACACGACTCCGGCCACTACCGTATCTTGAGCGGCCCTCTGGTGAATCGCATCATGCAAGTGGTCACCGGGAACTGCCTCGCCGGAATAAGCATCGAATGGTGGAAGCGGAACCACAACGCTCACCACATCGCGTGCAACAGCCTCGAGTTCGACCCCGACGTGCAGCACATCCCCGTCCTCGCCGTCTCCTCCGAGTTATTCCGCGGCCTCACGTCCTACTTCTACGAGCGGAAGATGAGCTTCGACGGGGTGGCGAGGTTGCTGGTGAGCTACCAGCACTGGACGTTCTACCCGGTGATGTGCGTGGCGAGGTTGAATCTCTTCGCGCAGTCGGTGCTGTTGCTGCTGTCGAACAAGAGGGTGCAGGGGAGGAGCATGGAGTTGGTGGGGTTGGGGGTGTTCTGGGTCTGGTTCCCGCTGCTCGTCTCCTACCTGCCGAGCTGGGGCGAGAGGGTGATGTTCGTGGTGGCCAGCTTCGCGGTGACCGGGATCCAGCACGTGCAGTTCTGCTTGAACCACTTCTCCTCCAGCGTCTACGTCGGGCCGCCGCGGGGGAACGACTGGTTCGAGAAGCAGACGATGGGGACGCTGGACATCACCTGCGAGCCCTGGATGGATTGGTTCCACGGGGGGCTGCAGTTCCAGGTGGAGCACCACCTGTTCCCGCGGCTGCCGCGGTGCCAGCTACGGCGGATCGCGCCCCTGGTGCGGGAGCTCTGCAAGAAGCACGGCCTTCCGTACGATAACTTCTCCTTCTGGGAGGCCAACGTGAGGACCATCAGGACGCTGAGGACGGCGGCTTTGCAGGCGAGGGACTTGGCCAATCCGGTCCCCAAGAACTTGGTGTGGGAGGCGGTGAACACCCACGGATGACCAACGTCTTCGGCCCACTTCCTCCGACTCCGTCTTCCCTTTCCTACACGGCTTTTCTTGCCCAAGGGAAAAGGAAATCCAGGAAAGAAGGAAGAACATATCATCATCCGCATATAGATAGGGTGTCTATGGGATTCTCCATCCATCTTTGTCGTGTGATTCTGCATTCGATCGAATTGATGTTTCTTCTGTCTACATTTTTCATATGAGAGAAGAAAAAGAGTCTGATAGCATGAAAAGCTCCGATGCAGAGAGAGAGAACAAAATGGTGGCAGTCTGCATTATATGTAGCCTCTGTTAGGCCAACAAGAAAAATGCTAATAAATACTGTATTAATACGTCATTAATTATTAATCAAATTTACAGACACATTATTACCAATTAAAATTATATTGAATACGTCTATACTGTTTATTATCAACCTTGTCGGTCATTGGTGTGATCCATAAACTTACAAGAAATTATTCGTTTTCGGTTATGCGCGTATCGACTTACTTACGAGTCTTTGGTTTTCGTACTCCTAAATCAATGTGAGACTAAATATCTTTATGATATAGTATAAGAAATAAAAATCATGTAATTGTAAGCACAATTTATTGAGCAGGAATCAAGTTTTATGGCCAAACCCAGCAGAGTTCCTTCTGGTTTCCTTTCTGTTTCAGCTCTCCTCCATGTCGTCTCCTACCTTTCTCCCATCTCTTGGATCGAAGTCTAATTAGCTGTGTGTGGTCGGAGTAATCATATGCATCCAAACGTTGCTTTATGTAAAGCTATTATTGGCTTTGGTATAGGAGACACTAACAGACGAACATAAATAAGAGACTCGGCATTCGCTGCTCGTCTACGCTACGAGCGGGGGCGGCGCTTGAGGGGGTGCTTCGTAAATTACCACTCGATTTCCGGCAGGCGACGGTGGCACGTAAGGCCTCCTCGAGGCTTGAGACGCTGTCATGGTAGTGGGGCTTGGGATGGGATCGTCCGACTCCCCGCATCGTCCAGCTCTGGCTAATGCCTTCCTGGGAGTACCTGCAAGATCGCAGCATCCAAACCTTGCTTTCAGAACACGAATCTGTAGATCTAACATCGACCGGAAGAAATCTAGTTTTTGCCTCGGAAAAGGAGGAGACAAAAGAAGGAAGAAATTGGAGTGCTGAGTGTATGCGCACAGGAGAAGGAGATGGGAGGATGGCATCCGAGCAGGAGGATGGTGAGAAGAATGACGACGACGATCTGTTTCGTGGATTCAGCCATAGCAACAAGAGGCAGAAAGAAAGATAGATCGAGCGATCGATCGATCTCTATACTTGATATCGGTCGAAGGAGATAATTGGAATGGATGATTGAATTGGATGGTTCTTGTGAAGACCGCCAGCTCACTGTCTCTCGGAAGCTGGTGAGACGGCCGCAATTGAAGAAACTGGAGGTCGTTGACTTTGACTTTGACGTTGACTTCCAGTAAACAGGTTGGCATGGGAGATGGGAACCATATATCAACTAGAGGATGGAAGGACATTAAGGTCTTGCCAAATTGGTAGCAGTCACTATTTGATTTTGGTCTGAATATATCTTTATCTTACAATAATAAAAAATTTATTGTGGATTTATATAACTATCGTTAAAAATAATAATTTATATAACAATAAAAATTATCATCCCAAGAGTTAATAATCGTTATGCCGATCACCTCGATAATTATTATACCACATCGAATATAACGAGGATATTATCATATCATCAGTCGCCTCAATGATTATTTTGACTAACTTGACGATTTTTTTTTCTAAATAATTATATTTTAAATCGTAAACGATTAGAAACTCATGACTATAAATAGTTATTCATCTTATTTCTCATAATCTTTTCGAATCCTAAAATTATTTTAGTTCGGACACGTTACTAACTTGAGCAACGAAGAAATCAAGAACACTGATTTTGATGAAAAACACTCTTTTGAAGGCCGTGGTCACTACAAAACAGTCCACAGCTTCTCACTGTGTTATTATCATCAAGCATAGTTGACATACATATGTATACATACATCACAACTGGTACGGACCTGTTAGATAATACATTGAGCAGCAGAAATATCTATAAGGTTAATCGACAGAACCATGAGCAACATTGTAGCAGTGGATGTGGCGTCAATTATTGATGAGCTTGTAAGGAGGCTTGTTGAGAGCTGGGGAAGGATCATATGCTCCATAGTCATTGGTCTTAACATTATCCTTGGATGAACTCTGCATGTGTATATAGATATGATCACAGTAAGTTCTAGAGTTAATAATATATACAAGTCAGACACCAATTTAATCTAAATCTATTATATGTAATCTTGACACTTTGGATCCTTGATAATATGAGATTATTTTCTTAGTTCATCCAAGATAGGTAAATAATAATTTCTTGAAAAAAAGAAAAGCCTCTAATTTTACCATATTTAAATACCTTTTTCGTAGCTTCGTGTGGTACCGAAGCATGATGCATCAACTTCCGATGACCTACAAAAAAAAAAAAAAGTTAGAATGGTAAAAAAAAAAAATTGATCCACTCATAAAGAGAGAAAAAAAAAAAAGACCTTACGAGGTTCCTTAGCAATATTCTCGGGATTTAAACTCTATCGTTACGATAAAATTTTCGTTAGAATGAACCCTTTCATTAAATAAATGAACCTAATTTTTTACAATTACCTATCGTATCCACATATAATTTTTCGTTCAAAATCTTTTACTATCTAGAGTAAAAGAATTAGTATGTATATTTTATAGAACCCAAAGTGAAAATATACTAAAAATATAAATTTATTCGACATCGGACTTGATCGAAATAGGGTTATATATATATATGAAGATTGGTCATTCGAGCTAACGTAAATCGACATCATATTTACATATGGATCACTACATAGGTGTGATCGGGCTTATTTTTGATAAATTTGTTAATATTTAGATATCATATATGGTATATATATATTTTAAATATTTTTGTCGAGTCGAGAAATAGTTTTGATTGTATATCTTTTTGGTAGATACAAAATATGTGCAAAGAAATCTGAATTTAACATTGACTAGCTCGGAAACTATTTAAGTACAAACATCAAAATGACACAGCAACCAACCTGCGAATGATTCTGAGGGTGCAGTCGCTGACAAGAGGAGGAGGAGGAAGAAGAGAAGGGCCACCGAATCCATCTTCGATTCTCGATTGATCTGTTTCCCCGTCCGTTCCAAGGAGGAGAATATAAGGAGGTCAGGTAACTCAAAGTTGCACAAGGGAAAAAGACTGGACAAGCACTCACTCTCTCGATGGCATCCGTTGTGTAGTCACTAAGGTTAGTGGATGCGTGATGGTTCGAGTTCATTGGCGAAGCAAGTTATCCTCAGCATTCTTCTCCTCACGCGAATCCTAATGGCCTCTGATGTGGTTGAGTGCGTGCTTTAGTTCAGAGCTTCCAGTTCATTTGCAGATGGCACTCCGATGGTGGAAAAATGAGGTGTTGGTTGTGGCCACGCTGAACTTTTGTCTCCTTGTTCTGCTGCCGACGATGCAAACGAACGTAAAAGATGATGTGATTGAATTGGCAAGTCTCTGAACAATCTCTTATACCTCATGATGTGTACCTCATGATGTTTGTAGTGACTTCGACCATCTGAATCGGTTTGAATCGATTACAAGAGATTAATTTGGCTTTGTTGCATCAAATCATCGTAACTTTCTCACACAACATCAGAATTGCTACCGTGACCGACAAGAAGAAGAAGACAATACGAGGCATTAAAAGAAAGGACAGTTGACTTGCCACTGGAAGCAACACTATGGATCGAACGGATCGTGTCCAACCAATACAACCTAATTCTGCCATTAACGGTGTAAAGTTCAACTAGATTTCATTATCGATATCAGGATTAGGCAGAAAGGACAAAGGAGGTGAGGATGGTAGATATATGCTTATGAAAGTACAAGCAAAGTTACAAGCTACACTTTGATGCTGCTGCCTTTTTGCTTCTATACTTGTTTATTATTTATATTACTTATCATTTGTCTTGTAAAAGTCATTGAAAAGAAGACTCCCCTTTCAGCTCAAAAGACTATGAGTGTTGTTTGTCAAACATTCCACCAATTTCTAGGTGAGTGATTTTTTCATTGATAGGATTCATAGTGGACTACTTTAAGATTCATAGTGCTTATGTTGTTGTCTTCTGTTTCTTTTTGGTTAAAAAGGTTGGATTCGGCCCTTCAAGATCTTAAGCTATCATTCTATTTTAAACCACAAGTGTATTAACTTTAAAATGAGGAAACAAACATACAACTTATATACAATGATCATCAAACTCTTAATTTGGATTTGGCTTTTCCTTTATACAACTTAAGAATTACAGTCTCTAATTAAGGATATTAATCTCAGTTCTTGGAATCTAAATAACATAATCAATCATTAATGACAAAATATTGTCTCTAAATGTCAAAATAATGACAAAAATCCTTTTACTTGATGGCCAATTTTCATTGTCAAACCCTTCTTTTTTGGCAAGGAAGTGTGTTCTACGTACACAAGTACATCAAATTTTCCAATGCCCGAAGGACTAGATATCTGAGTGACATAAAACTTGGCGAGAAATTATTTTTCTTAAATCTGAAGGATTATTTCTCCTCGGTAGCTTTCACTTCTTAAGCTTGACAATACGACTTTGTAGAAGACCTGTCAATCATGGAGTTCCACGCTGTTCCATTGAAAAAGACACTTTGTACGCTGTGACTTCTTGCAAAAGGCTTCATTTGGTCTTTCATGGCCTCTTTCAACAATGGGTGCAGAAGCCGATGAATTCATTCAGCACTTTTCTTTCCTTCATGGCCTTTTTCAGCACTGGGTGCAGAAGCTGATGTTTCCATTCAGCACTTTTCTTTGGCCTGATTGATATGGAGATATGCATACTCTCTTTAGATCTTTAACAGCACCAGAATCCACAACTTGCTACAGTCGTCACCTTTCCAAGATCTTATTCTGGGATCATCTTCCACCACATATAATAAACATACAATATGGTGTCACCAAATTCGCTGAAAAAGCCTTATCATGCTGTGTTGAGGTACTCTTTACGACTAGGCACCACCATCATGGTTGACCATTCGCCATGGACACCACTGCCACTAAGAGCAAATGTAGTTGAGGCTGCAGATTTTGTTTTCTTGTTCAAGTTGTTCGGTCACTGACCTCAAGAACATATGAAAACTTCTTGCATTATCTACTCCATTTGTTTCTAGTTAGCAGTAAACTGGTAGGGCCAAATCATCCTGTTCTGTTGTGCCGAGTAGAACCAGTCACCGTGGCAACATGATTTTGGACTGAGCCGGAGACAGATTACTCCTCTAGCCTGTCTATGAACTCCTACGAACCCCTATGTGCTCCAAGGAAGATAGATGCCCCTGCAAAATAAAAGAACCATCAGAAGAACTTCAGTGAGATCTCCTTCATTGCACAAGTAAAGCTTAAAAGAAAGTAGAGAGAGAGAGAGAGAGAGAGAGAGAGAGTACTTCCTTATACTCT